GCATGAAAATGACATGCACATGAATCACAGTTTCTTGGCTCAATTATTTGTGTAAAGAGAACGAAAGCTTTGCTTAAAATGGAATTCATCGGTGTGGTTCTTATTTTTATGGGTTTGTTTTTAGTGTCTTGTGAAATATGAAAAATTCAGGCCAGATTCAGGCCCAGGTTTCAGTGGTAGTAATGGGGATATTTGTCTGAGATGGCTGCATAAGGAGGTTGAACAGAGGCCTGGCTAGTCTAGAGAGCAGCTGGCCTGTGCATAGGCTGGGAAGTTGGAACAGCCTCACGTTCCTTCAGTGGCACGACAGAGCTCCTTGAAGGGTAAGTAGCTGGAACAAATGGCCACACCTTAACACTACCCCAATCACTTCTGTATAAATCCTGGATAGGGGCTTGGGTTCTTAATTTCTCAGGAAGAAATGGTCCTGCCATAAAGGGAGATGGCCATTTAGAAATGGTGCACAGGAATACCGTCTTCTGTACTACTCACAACTTAGAGAATAGGGGCCTTTACAGTTGTGGATAGATTTGCTTCTTAAACTGAACATGACTGCATTTCTGTATATCTTTTGGAGAACCTCTAGGCACATTTAGAGTGGGCAGCATCAGATTTATAATATCCCTAAAAAAGAAGAGTAAGTAATACCTAATTGCGAGGGCTGCGCAAACCTGCGGATCATGATTCGGATTCGGAGATGATTTGGAGGCCAAATCTATGAATCCAAATTGAATTGCTGGAAGTTTTAGGTTTTCTGAATCGATTTGGAAAAGATTCAGAAAAGATTAGGAGATTCAGCCATAGGGTATAATTAAGAATCAATGAAATATCTATAACTTTGTTGTCTTTTGGCTGATTCACATGAAACTTTCAGGGATGGTAGCCTCTGCTACCTTTCAGGGATGGTAGCCTTGAGCATGATGTGTGCCAAGTTTCAAGGTGATAGGTGCAGGGGTTTGGGGGGAACTGCACCTCACGCTGCGGACAAGCAAAATTTGTGACATGGGTGACACTGTGTGTGTTAAGGCACAGCAGGGTGAAAGCTGCAGACCTGCTAGCTCCTGCTGAGGCCACAAAGTCTGTCAGCTGTCAAGGAGATCAGTGCAGGGGCTTCTGGGTTGTGGGGCCCTGCACCTCTAGCTGCTGACAGGCAAAGCTCATGTCATGGGTGCTTGTGCAACTGTGTCTGTCTTGGGGCATGGGAGGGGGAACTACTGTAGGCCTGGCTGCTAAGCTACTGTGTTACCAATCAATCATGATTCACTCAGGGACCACCTCAATAGTCAACACAGTAGCTAGCTACTAGATAATAAGTTAATGAGCAAAGATTAACACCTACAAAACCACAAACTAAGGAGAGGAAAGAATCAATACAGACAATCAACTGCCCCAAAACAGAGACAGTCAGCTGCACAAGCACCCACGTCATGCATTTTGCCTGTCAGCAGCCTGCACCCAGGGGGGCTCTGGGTGCAGGGCCCCAGAGCCCCCCTGCATCTATCTCTTTAACAGCTGGCAGCCTTCGTGGCTGGAGCAGGGCCCAGCAGCCAGGGCTGCCGTTGCCCCAAGACAGACACAGTTGCACAAGCACCGATGACACAAGTTTTGCCTGTCAGCAGCTAGAGGTGCAGGGCCCCAGAACCCAGAAACCCCTGCACCTATCTCCTTGATAGCTGGCAGGCTTCATGGCCACAGCAGGGGCTAGCAGGCCTGCAGCTTTCACCCTGCTGTGCTTTAATGCACAGTGTCACCCATGTCATGAGTTTTGCTTGTCCACAGCTTGAGGTGCACTTTCCCCCAAACCCCTGCACTGATCTCCTTGAAACTTGGCAGGCTGTGTGGCCTCAGCAGGGGCTAGCGTGCCTGCAGTTTTGAACCCGCTGTGGCTTAACAGTTAACACACACATGTGACATGAGTTTTGCTTTCAGAATTTTGGGTGCAGTTTCCCAGAAACCCCTGCACCTATCACCTTGAAACTTAGCGTGTGTCATGCCCTCAGTAGAGGCTACCATCTCTGCAGGTTTCATCTGAATCAGCCAAAAGACAACACAGTTATAGATATTTTATTGATTCCCCGTTATACTGTATGGCTGAATCTCCGAATCAGCTCCGAATCTTTTCCAAAGCAATTTGGCCGAATCGAATCGGAAAAACAATTCTGATCTCCAAATCGAATCTCTGGCATCCAAATCGGCCGGATCCGAATTGAATAGTTCCCTATTCTCACAGGCCTACTAATTTGCAGTACATTGTTGGGCATCTTTTCACTTATGATGAAAAGCAACTGTTATTTTATTCACAGCAGTTCAGTTTATCTATACTTGCCCTGAAGAACCTATATCCTGAGAATCCCGCCACATACGGAGACAAGAATAGCATTAGGAACAGCAGGCTCAGCCGGGGTTTTCAAAGGGGCATATGAAGAATAGGCTGCTGTCTTTAACTAAAAGTTAATAAGAGCTGGATGCTTAATTCCCATAGATCTTAGTAGCCAAGTCAGATGGCTTGTGTTTGAACTGCAGGTGCTGGATACATACCATACTTATTGGGTTCCTGATTCAATGTATTTTGTTTGAAATGTTTCTTGTAGTTTCACTGAATCTTAACCAGAACTCCTCTGGTAACTGGTGTCAATTCAGGAGAAAAAATGCAGGCCTCCTGAAGAGCTAAGTAAGTCAGTTGTCTGCAGTATATTGAGCCGTTCTGGTTTTGAAAATAGAAGCCCTGAGTCACTCATGCTTTGCTCCTGTTTCAGGCGGGGGAAACTTCATTCAAATCAGTAACACCGATGCAAACCAGGAGCCCGGAGGTGAATCAGCCCCTAGAACCTTTATCGATAATTCTTTCCTTTCTGCCTTCCAGTAGCTACATTATTCCCAGAAACTTGCACTCAGTGCTATAATTAACCTAGGAGGACTAGGACTTCAAGTCCTGCATTTCACGTCTTGGGGAATAAGCAACTTAATGGATCCGAATGATTGTGTCTTAAGTCATTCTGCTGAGCTGCAGTGTCTGTATATGAGTATTTTCCCCCGGTGAATACCCAATAATACCCTAAACTGTGCCTGTTTTGGTTTTTGCAGCTGAATAAAAAGTCTCCTGGTTTCTGCAGTATCACTCCGCTCAGTTCAGCAGCAATCTGGGAATTCCTTGGCAGAGTCAAATACAATTCAAACACTGTGGCTTTAATTGAATTATTATTCCAAAGATAAAGCAATCAGCATAATATTAGCTGGGCAAATAATTTTTCATAATTAATATGATGATAAATAACTTCAATTTATTACTTTAACTTATTTTAAATGTTGAGTACACTGCAGGTTTGTTTTGGTAGTAGCAGTTTAGGTGAAAAGGGGCTTGTAATGCTCAAAAAACTACAGCAGCACCTCTGAGCTTTACTACCAAAGCAGTAGTTTAATCTTTTAGCAGTAGGGAAAATATGAACATACAAAGGCAGATGTGCCTTGATGAGCTGAGCACTTCTCCTACCCCAGTAACCCGCATCTCCCAGTCGCGGTACTAAGCCATTGTAGATCAGTAATTTGCATTAGATCCTTGTGCTAAAAAAACCTACATTAAATAGTTAATGTTCATATTTAAATGCATCATTACACGTCAGGGTTAACACCGTGCTAACCAGGACTGTGAATACGTCTAAAAAATTATTACTGTATTTTCTTTCATAAAGCATGTGAAAGCCCCCCCCCCAACCAGTCAGGGGAGACTGCCTTGTGCATTATTATTTGGTGGCAGGGAAGCAGTGGCAGCATTACTTGCTGTGGCTCCCAGAGTGGCACAAGGAGCCACAATTATGGTAACTCCCCTACCAATGCCCTGCTCCCAAATCTTTGGACCCTTGGCGAACCCTGCTGCCGAATGATATTGCCCCACATGCTGGATCAGGCTGGCAGGTGGGTTCAAATCCACAGCTGAACCTGGCATGCAACCTCAGACCCAGCATGCTGAACTGGTCCCCCTGCACAACCTCAAAACCAGTGCCCAACCTTAAGCCTGGTGGGCTGAATCAGGCTGGCAGGCCGCGTTGGTCTATGAGCCCCATCTGGTGGATAGGGCTGGCAGGAGGCTAGTTTCTCTATCTGCTGCTATTCAGTTACTTAGAAGAAAATTTTTCTGTGCGGTGCCTTTCAAAAAGAGGGTGCACATCATATTCAGGGGTATTCTCTGTTCGAGAAAACATGGTATTTCAGGCTATACAATTACAGGTGCAGAAAAACAGGAACACATTGACAGAGCATCCCTTGGGTAGGGCGAATCAGGGTGATTGCCCTGGGCCCTGCACTTTGTGGGGCTTCGTGGAGCCAGGCGAAGCGGCCGTGGGGCCCACCTGGAGCTGGTGCCTCAGCCCTGCACCACGGAAGAAGTGTCCACCTGTTCACTGCCCCCCACTGCATGCCTCTGGCTTCACATCCGCGGAACAGCGGCCCGTATGGGGCACATGGGATCTGCTTGGCCCTGGGCACCAAATTTCATTGCTACGGCACTGCTGTACCCTGCCTTTGCGGGGGTCCCATGGCCCCACACAGTGTTAAAGGGGCCCCACACAGGCTCATTTGCCCCGCAACCCGCTAGGGTCGGCTCTGCGCGTAGACCACAGGATCAGTCAACTGAATAACTTGGACCAGAGCACTGAGATCCTGATGCTCAGTCCCTGTCTCATCATCAGGCCACAACCCTTCCTGTAATTCAGACTGTTTGCGCCAGTTCCTAATATACTTTTTCAGGATCAGGTTTTCTTGCCTTCATTTTTACCACAATATTTGTATCTGTGGACACCTGAATATTTTTTGTATCTTGGGGGAGACCAGCATGGTGCTATTTGAGAAACCTTGACATAAAGGTTGGATTTAAATGACTGGAAATCAGACTCTGAACACTTTCCGTAACTATATTGCTCTGTAAATCTGGCTCTTAGAAAAACTCACTGTCCTGTACACTCTGTTAGCTGCACAGGTGTTGATGGCTTTTATGTTGTTTCCAGCTTCTGGCAGACAGCTGAGACCAGCAGAGTCTGATGCGGATGCAGATGCGGATGCTGATGCAGAAGAAGATGATTCTGTGAGTTATGTTACCATTAGGTCCTGAAAGCATAAGTAAATGTTTAATTTATTGATTCTTTTTTTTTTTTAAACAAAGACGCTGCTATTAGTATTTCTGTTTTGGGAGATGTTCTGAGAGCCAGATCTACCTTTTGATCTTCAGAAATACAGAATCCTATAGGACAGAACTTGGAATACTGTAATTTGGCAGTAAAAGTGGAATTCTGAGGTCTAGCATTTTCTTCTTTATGATTTTTTGCTTAAAGCACAATTTATACGGCTTTTCTCCATACTTGAGGTCATTAGAGGGACAAAAATTAGCACTTAAAAAAAGGTGTGAAGCAAGTCATCATATCCTCTTTTAATTATTAATACCTACCTATTTTGACTGAATTTCTAAAGCATTAAATCAAAAGTTTCCTGTATTCCAAAATTAAAGAAGTTGTAAAAGTGTTATCTCTGTCTTCAATGTTCTCCTTTGTTGCTTTCATCCCATTTGTTTGCTTACAGAGGAAAGAATGAATGGCCATTCTGTACCTGCTGATACCTGCCAAGAAATCTGGATAACTGTTGCTTAACAATGAAGAGCCCTTGTCCCTCATCCCTTCCATTTCTTTCCTGCAGGTCAATGAAGTGACAATAGAAGACATACGACCAAGGCCACAAGGATCCTCTCCAGTTTATGAATATTCCATAGAAGAAGACTATTTTAACAAAAAGGCAAGACATGCACCCGAGGGCTACCTGTTATCCTTGGTTCATTGTTGGTGGAAGTTTCATCAGTTTAGAGTCACTAGCAAAACCCCACGCTCTTAGACTGGGATTTGAACTTACTGTATATAGAATTTACCAACTAGGGTGTCTTATTTTATTTATGAACAAGAGAGCTTTAGGTTAGTTCTGAAATTTCATTGTGAAGAAAGAGGTATGATAAGCAATTACAGTAAGAAACATGTTTATTTTGCTATTCAGCTATACCCATTAAGCATTAAAAGTTTGTTTTCCCCTATTTTGTTCCTAATTGGAGCTAGGATAGAGAATTTCATGACAGTCATAATTTTCTGGGAGATATAAACGTAAAAAAAAAAGTCTGTCAAGTTTGAGTTTACATATTATAAAGGTTGTAACAAGCTGCAGGTCCTTGCAGGTTGGAACACAGGTTGTAAGGGGACTGATTTGAAGGGTGACACCAGGAACCTCAATGTGCTTGGAAAATTTCAAATGGCTCTAAGTCAGGGGCGGGCAATTATTTCGGGCAGAGGGCCGCTTACTGAGTTGCGGCAAGCCATCAAGGGCTGCATGACAGGCAGCCTGGAGCAGATAAATATTAATTTACTAAATTTTTTAGGGGCCCTGCCGGCCAGATAGAATGGCCTGGCGGGCCGCATCGAGCCCGTGGGCTGCATTTTGCCCACCCCTGCTCTAAGTGCACACTGCACCACGTGGCTGCAGGCAGCAGCACTGAGCACTTGGCTCTAATAAAGAGACAAGTTCTTGCAGCCCAACTGGAGTCCCTTTAGTATTGCACAGAGCTCTGTACGTGAAAAGCACATTAAAATTATCCTGATCTTCTGATTAACAAAGAAATAAACATGTAACTAATTAAGCGTATGTTTGAATACGTAGTCAGCAGAATAAGGCTCATTGTAAAGTAAGATGTATGTTAATCATAGATATGAAAGCATGATGACTCCACAATGTGATGGACCTAAAGAAAGGCTTCCACATCATGAAACAGACATTCCCTGATTGAAGATCTAGCTCTAAATTTTCTTCACAGTACTCAGATGTCCTGGGTACTTAGTTCCTATTAATGTTAATGAAAGTATGTGACTAAATCCATACACCCCATGCTGAAATGAACTCTCTTGACTGTATGGAAATATTCTCTACTGGCACTTAAGACAGTCTCTGCTTTCAGTGTGAATCATGAATTGTAGTTGCCCACAAAAAAATTCAGCCAAGGACCTTATTTTGTACAAGATAGCAGCCATATAAACTCCCTGTGCCTTTTATAACAACCTCGTATCTGAGTGCTCAATAATTACAATTTCTTTTTCAGCTTCAAGAAGATCTAGAGAACAAAAAATATTCTAGAGACAAAGAAAAACTGGCTCATCCAGAGGTAAATTTGAAAGCAACTGATATTTACTTTGCAGGCACCCCTTCTGCACAAAAGCCAGGTTGGTTACAATGTGCAAATTGTGGCTGAGCAGAAGAGATTCGGATGTGTTGCACAAGCTGCCTTTTAAATAATCACTTCATGGTGGGTCCCTTCATATGAGCTACTGTCCTCTTCAGCTTCCTTTGGTCCATATAAGTTGTGCTCATATAAGTTGTGGTCCATATAAGTTGTTTCCTGGCATCAGCTTCTCTGGCGTCAGTTTTGAACATGCACTCTGTCATGTACTCTGCTCCTTCATGGAAACAGGATCGTGCAGCCCAACTGATGTAGGCCTGCCAGGGTCAGTGCTGACCTGCCCAGATTCCTTCATAGCTTAAGCTCACCCTTCTTTGGAGCTGCTCTGGGTGTGCAGGGACATGTGATGGCTGAAGCAAACAGATACACAAATGCTGTAAGGGTTCAAGACCTCGGTCACTCTTTAATTCAGCTCAGGGCCGTCCAACAGGTGACCTGTACATCATATCCATCCGCCAAAGCCTGTGGCCCTTGGACTCCCTGGTCCAGGTGCTATTCTCTCTATGGCTCCAGCTGCCACTGCTGGAATCTGCCCCTTCCTCCTCTGGCTTCCTGTCTGCACTTGCTTCTTGGAGCTAAAATAGGCAATAATTTCAGTTAGAGGGCTGTTTAATGAGTTTTAGTGAGCTATCAAGGGCCGTAAGGTTAGCTCCAACCCTTGACAGATGACCTGTCCCCTGGCTGCTAGGTCTGTATGAAGCAGCTAGTATTTGCTTCGAATTCGGATTCAGCTGATTTGGGGGACAGTGATTTGATTCGGTGATTCGAATCACTCTCCTGAATCGATTTGGCTGAATCCGATTCAGAGATTTGGCTGCTGCACTGTGCAACGTGGCATGGAGATAAGGGAAACATGGAGGGCTTGCACAAGGTACAGCAAGGGCGAAGCACTGACCTGGCCCCAATCTAGTATAGCGTTTAATCATGTGACCTTTTTTTAATACTTACATGATCCTATTAGAATTAAGGTGCTTGACACCTTTGTGGATTGAGCCCACGTATGAGTCCATATTCAAAACAAGCTTTCTTGTGCGAGCTATGGTCAGTATATTGGGAAATGCTCTCTTCCCCAGAGACCAAATGCTATATAGCAGGGATATCAAATATCCAGCCTCCATAATTCTAGGGTATGGAGCTCCTGATGCTCATCCCACTGCTAGCATGTCCAGATGTGGTCTGTAAGGAGCCTGAAGGGGGCTGAGTTTGACACCCCTGATGTAATAGCCTCAATGGTCTATATAAATTAAAACTAATTTTAACGTGATACCTTTCTTGCATCTAGAAGACCATGGAAGTGACCCTGACAACAGAAGTGGAGTCTGGGGCTAGTGGTTTCAGTGTGACTGGAGGAGGAAATGAAGGAATATTTATAAAACAAGTACTCAAGGAATCCCCTGCTTCAAAATTATTCAGTATGAGAGAAGGTACAGTCTGATCTTCCAAACTGTTTTTTTTAATTTTAATTACATTATTGAGGAATTTGATATAATATTAAATTCCAAAGTATGTGTACCTATAAATATACACACAGTATAGCCCATTATCAAATAGCAGCAAAAAAAATCCCAGTTCAGCAAACTGTATGCATTTAACTTTACATTATCTGCTGCATTTAACTTTACATTTGCTTTATATTATCTATGCATGTAACTTTACTCTCCCATGAGGAGTTTTGCAGGATGCGTACCTTAAATGGTGATGAAATGTAGAGTCTCTTTGAATCCTGATGTACTAATTTCCACTGGAACTATAATATTTCTTTTCAAAAGAAATATAATAATAAGGAATATGAATTCTTTAAACTGCAAAGGTAAAAATAGCTTCCTATTAGAATTGGGAAGAATCTGCTCCAGTGTACGGTGAAGTTTTAAACATTGTTAAGTGGATGAATATGCACTGATACAGGAAAAATATGATTTAAGCAGGAACCATACCCCCATGCATAAATATTTCAATAACTGAATACATGTTTTGCCTGATCATCAGTTGGTTAATTATTGTGTATATGTTGTTAAGTACAATTAACTTTTTAAAATCATGCAATACAGCAAGCTCATATTTTAAAATAAAATATATGCTGCCAATTTCAGGTGATCAGCTTCTCAGTGCCACAATATTTTTTGATAATATCAAATATGAAGATGCACTCAAGATTCTTCAATATTCTGAGCCATATAAAGTCCAATTCAGCCTCAAAAGAAAGCTTGTTGAGAAAGAAGAGTTAGAACAACTTCATTCAACAACACAGTACAAGAAAGAAAAAATAATTCAGGTAAAGTTATCTGATCATGCAGCAAAGAATAGAGTAATATGTTAATAATTCACAACATAGCAGTATGTATTTAGAAAAAAGATATTATTGTTTATTATTCTAGGAGTCTGCTTCTGGTCCAAAATCAAGTAAATAATAGTTATATTCACGTTTTTCAGTGTTTTTTATATTTCTCAGAAATTCATTAAAAAATGACCCTCTGCTTTTGACCCCTTCTAATCAATATGCTCATTGTCCTCTTGGAGGCCAGAACTTGGTTATAATTCTCCATCTGCTTAAAATGCATCTTACTTATATACTTGTAAATTGAGGACTCCCTTAAATATATACATTTGGATTTTCCATTGAACAAAAGCTAAAACATGCTATATGGAATCTAAAGTTTGATCTTTATATGCATTTAATGTATTCATAGAATAATTTCATGCCATGTAACTTTTAACTTAATTTTCAGCTTGTTTTTTCTCTAAGGGGAGACAAATTTTAAACAAAAAAGACCAAAATTATATTTATTTCTTAGAAACATTCACTAGAATCGCCTTCTTCTTTAGGGAAAAGAACAAAGGGAATATATTCCTGAAGAAACAATGCAAATTTCAGAAAAGACAATCTCAGAAGAAGACCAAGAAAAGTTAATCGTAAAACAAAGAGTGGGAAGAACAAAGCGACCCAAAAAAGAGAGATTGTCGTGGCCAAAATTCCAGTCAATTAAAAATAAAAAGATCTTGGGGCACAGAAGATCTCATAGTACATCAGATGCATATGAGCACACCCTACAGGATATTTCCCCAACAAGCACTGATACCGAGTCTCAATTTCAACAAGAAAAAATCCAAAAAAAAGGAAGCCAAAAGAAACTGAAGTTCCCTAACATTGGATTCAAGATGCATAAAACAAAAACAGACATTGAAGACAAGCAGAGATCAGAAATAAAAAGTGTGATACATCCTGGAAAGGATAAAAAACAGAGAGAAGATATCAGCATGGAGACACCAGAAATATTAACCGTTGAGTACACTACTTCTCCGCTTGAAATACAAACAGGTGAAGTACATGGCAGCATCAAAAAAGACATGGAAAATGGTTTACCGATCCATACAAAAAAATGCCCTGAAGTTGAAATTAGCATCAGAAAACAAAAAGGCCAGAAAGCAACATCAAAGCACATTGATATACAACAAGAAGTACCTGTTATAAAAACACAGATAGAAAAAACAATTTCAGAAACACCAAGCAAACAAATACCTCAGGCTTTACCAAGAACACGAAAGAAGAAACAAAAAGGTTCTTCTGAACAAATACAAATTCAAAAACCAACCAAAATAGAAGTACAACCTGAAGGAGTAGGCCTAATACAAAGAGAGATTAAAGACCATACACCTCCGAGTTCAATTCACGTAAAGGGACTAGAAATAGGAATAGCAAAGACAGAACAAAGCAAAACACCACAAGAAGCAGATTCAAAAGAAAGGCTGGTGGAGGATGAGACTCAAACCACAAGAAGCAGATTCAAAAGAAAGGCTGGGGGAGGATGAGACTCGCATATCAAAACAACAAAAAGCAAAGGTTGGATTAGCAATTCCAAAAGGGAAAGGACCAGAAAGTGAAATCACTTTAATAAAATTAGAAACTGACATTCCAAAGACAACACAGAAAACTGAAGAGGTTGGAATAAAAATGGAAGCAACAAAAAATGAAGTAAAATCAGATATCATGGAACTAATGCCGGAAGACTCAGCATTGAAAATGCAAATGCCATCCCTGAAAATGACCCAAAAACCTGAAATGGACCTTAAAGCCACAAAGGCAGACATCAGCATCCCATCAACAGAGATTTCAGTGAAAAAGTCACAAATGGCATCTAAATTCCCACCTGATGAAGATAAAATTATACATATTGAAAGTGAGGTAAAAATAATAGAAAAAGATACAGAAGGAAAAGAGAGCAAATTCAAAATGCCAAAGCTCAGATTACCTACATTTACTTGGTCTACTACAAAAGATACAAGTGCAGAAGTAGCTGGTGAGGCACAACTCAAAACAGCACACATGACTATACCAACAGGTAGAGCAGAAGGAGACATAACGCTGAAAGGAACTGACATACAGGCTCCAAGTGTGGACCTCGACATTGGGCAAGTGCAGGTCAGTGTGTCAAAGGAAGAGCCAGAACTTTCACTGCCAAAGACCCAGGCTCAAATGAAAATGGAAGATTTAGCAGTAAAAGCCCCAGAGCTGGAAGCCAGCACTGAGATAACTACAGGAAAAATTGAGGGAAAAGGCATGAAAATCCATAAGAAGAAAGTAAAGATGCCAAAAATGGGATTTCCCAAACCGGATATAAAAGCACCAAACGTAGATGTCACCCTACCCACCTGCATGGTCACTATTCCCCAAGTGGACATGAAACAAGGACCAGTGGCCATTGAAGTTGACATCACTGAGCCGGATGAAAAAGCTCCAGATCTCGGGGAAAGCACGGACATAAAGGGAATACAAAGAGACTCAAAAGTAAAGCTGGAGGGTGAAGGTGAAATCAAAGCAGGCGACAAAGAGGCCAAAGGCAAAGACAGCAAGTTCAAAATGCCCAAATTCGGCATGCCTTCCTTTGGCTGGTCCAGCTCCAAAGAGGCCCGGGTGGGAGCAGCTAATGTGCAGGTGAGCCTCACCGGGCCCCAGGTGACCTTGCCGGAAGCCAGCGTGGAAGGAGAGGTCAGCGCGCCTGCCGCTGAGATCCAGGCTCCCGGTGTGGACCTCGACATTGGGGTGTCTGTCAGCAAAGAGGGGGAGAAGGGGAAAATGAAGATGCCAACCGTGACGCTTGCCAAGGTGAAGATGCCACACGTGCAGGTCAGCCTGCCAAAGGCCGAGGCTGATGTTTCACTTCCTGAAACCCAAGCTGAAATGAAAGAGGGAGACTTAGCAGTGAAGGTCCCAGCTGCAGAAGGCAGCATCGACATCCCTGCAGGCAAAGCCGAGGGAACGGGAATGAAAATCCACATGCCAAAAGTCAAGATGCCTAGTATGGGATTCTCCAAACCCGACATCAAAGCACCCAAACTAGATGTGGACATCACCTTACCCAAAGTAGACGTCACCCTGCCCACATGCGAGGTCAGCCTTCCCCAAGGGGACCTGAAGACGGGCCCCGTGGATGGCGATATCAGCATCACCGCGCTGGATGTGAAGGCTCCTGCACTGGAAGGCAGCCTGGATGTGAAGACGCCCCAGATTGATGCCGAAGCGCCATCTGCCCAGATTGCATTGGGCGGTGCCGAGCTGGACACTGGAGGCCTGAAAGAGAAGATTAAGATGCCAAAATTTGACAAGCCAAAGTTTGAAGTTTCCCTCCCCAAGGGGCACGTGCCAGAAGGCAAGATCAGCCTTCCTATGGTGGAAGGGGACCTTCCCCACGCCAAAGTGACAGCCGAGGGTGCGGTCGTGTCGCTGGAGACCTGCGAGGTCCAGGTAAAACCCAAAGTGCCAGACACCGAAGCCGACATCTCCAGCTGGAAAGTGCAAATGCCATTCCAGAAAATGCCCCAAATGCCAAAAGCTGACATCAAAGGCCCGAAGATGGACGTAAGGCTGCCATCGGTGGATGTCAGTCTGCCAAAAGTCGATGTGGAGGTTGGAGGGCTGGAAGTTGCTGCTGGGAAGATGGAGGTCGAAGGTGAAATCAAAGCAGGCGAGAAAGAGGCCAAAGGCAAAGACAGCAAGTTCAAAATGCCCAAATTTGGCATGCCTTCCTTTGGGTGGTCCAGCTCCAAAGAGGCCCGGGTGGGAGCAGCCGATGTGGAGGTGAGTCTCACCGGGCCCCAGGTGACCATACCCGCATGCAGC